ATAGATACAAGTGAGTACAGTTTTGCATCCTTACCTATATTATCTGTATGTATATTTGTTTCATTTTTCCCATCTCTTCATAAATATATTAATAAATTAGCTAATTTTTGTTTAGCAGCTATTTTTATGTCATAAATTAGTTATTAGTCAGGGACAAAAAAAATAATAAATTAGTTGTAAGTTAATCCACTTTGGAGTTTAAGATCTAATAGACCGAAGCTATAAGTTGATCAGATGTGCCCCTGCATGCCAGACAGCTTAATTTTGGACCCTGTTTCACTGCCTCAAGTTCCTCGTGCAAACCAGAAGGTAAAAGGAAACTACGTAGAGAGATACAGCAGTAGTAGGGATTGCAAGGCCTTTTGATTCATAAAGTATCGCGTGGCTCCCCCAGTACAGACAGTAGTGCCGAAAAGCTTTCACAAGCGAGGAGGGATACTACACGCTGCTTCGGCACCTGGAGGAAAGTTCCACGTCTCTTTGGAAAATCGAAGAGGTGCAGGAAATAAACGAGTGGAACAGCCCGTTCTCCAGTTGAGCTGGGCGTGGCGTTCCCAATCACAGGCCCTGAACCTTAGCGGACGAGATTCCGCATTAATAGCCTTCTCTCACCATCCCCTTCGCGCTTCCGCTCTCCGGCATGTGATCTGTCTGTCTCCTCTCCCCACTCGTGCGGTGTCCTAGGTGGTTCCATCTGCCTGCAGTTTCGTCCCTCACCGACGCCCTCATTCCCAAATCCCGCATCTTTATCACTCCGAGACCTTAGACACGTTTCCTACCAGACATTTTCATGGAAGTTTCCTTTGGGATTTCAAATCAACATGCCCAAACCAAAGTCAGCTCCTCCTAACCAGCTTCTCTTATAAACCAACCTAGTTAACACACCCATCACCTCACCAACTTAACAGATTTTTTTGTGGTGAGAATGTTAAAAATCGATTCTTTTAGCAATTTTGAAAATACAGAATTTTTTCAAAAGAAGATAGACACATGGCCAAGAAACATACTAAAAAAATGTTCAACATCACCTATCATCAGGGAAATGCAAATTAAAACCGCAATGAGATACCACCTTACCCCCATCAGAATGGCCATTATTAAAAAGTCAAAAAACAATAGGTGCTGGTGTGTATGCAGAGAAAAAGAAACACTTATACACTGTTTGTGGGACTGCAAATTAGTACAACCTTTATGGAAAACAGTATGGAGATTCCTCAAAGAAATTAAAGTAGACCTACCATTCAATCTAGCAATC